TTATCGTAATGTTCGGTTTTGAGTCCTTAACAGGATTCTTAACAGTCATTGCAAGTTTACTTTGAACAAATCAGAGTGCTTCAAACAGGCGTTTTCGCTTGAATGATCGTGCATGGAATAATAGAAAACGATTTCGGTTCAGTTTTATTGGTTTTACGGACTGAGATAATGGTTAACAGAGACAAACGGGGGCATTTGTATGGCCCCGTGAGAGGTGAAATTCTTGGACCGTGGCCAGACAAACTACAGCGAAAGCATTTGCCAAGAATGTCTTCATTAATCAAGAACGAAAGTCAGAGGTTCGAAGGCGATCAGATACCGCCCTAGTTCTGACCGTAAACGATGCCAACTAGCGATCCGCTGATGGAAATTATATTGCCTTGGTGGGGAGCTTCCCGGAAACGAAAGTCTTCCGGTTCCGGGGGAAGTATGGTTGCAAAGCTGAAACTTAAAGGAATTGACGGAAGGGCACCACCAGGAGTGGAGCCTGCGGCTTAATTTGACTCAACACGGGGAAACTCACCGGCCCGGACACTGTGAGGATTGACAGATTGATAGCTTTTTCATGATTCAGTGGATGGTGGTGCATGGCCGTTCTTAGTTCGTGGAGTGATTTGTCTGGTTTATTCCGATAACGAGCGAGACTCTAACCTACTAAATAGCTGATACATACTCTTTGTGTATACAGCTTCTTAGAGGGATTTGCGGCGTTCAGCCGGAAGAAATTGAGCAATAACAGGTCTGTGATGCCCTTAGATGTCCGGGGCTGCACGCGCGCTACACTGGCAAAATCAACGTGCTTGTCCTACCCTGAAAGGGGCGGGTAAACCATTGAAAATTTGCCGTGATTGGGATCGGAAATTGCAATTATTTTCCGTGAACGAGGAATTCCAAGTAAGTGCGAGTCATCAGCTCGCGTTGATTACGTCCCTGCCCTTTGTACACACCGCCCGTCGCTGCCCGGGACTGAGCCATTTCGAGAAATTTGGGGACCGTTGATTTAATTTATCTAAATTATTTTGATGGAAACCAATTTAATCGCAGTGGCTTGAACCGGGCAAAAGTCGTAACAAGGTAGCTGTAGGTGAACCTGCTGCTGGATCATTACTTTATGTGATGTTCAATTTTGAATCGCAATGAAATAATTGTTGTGTAACGGCTGTCGCTGGTGTCTAGGTGTTGCTGATACAGTTGTGAACGTCCGTGGCTGTATATGTGGTGACATGTTAGGACTATAATGAGTTTAAGACTTAATGAGCCTCTTAAGTGAGGACGCCAGCACTCTTTTTTTCTCTATATTTTAAAAAAAAACAAAATTCCTAGCCTTTCCGGTGGATCACTAGGCTCGTGGATCGATGAAGAACGCAGCAAACTGCGATAAGTTTTGCGAACTGCAGCAGCCTTGAGCATAAAAGTTTTGAACGCATATTGCCGCATAGGGGTCAAACCCTTTGCTATGTCTGGTTCAGGGTCATTTTCTTTCAAAGCGAAAGCTTTATTGTATAATTGCTTTTGTGGCTTCTTTATGTTTTAAATTGATTGTTAGATATGTTTAATTGTTCGCATGTATCATCAACAATATTAATTTTTTGACCTGAACTCAGTCGAGAGCACCCGCTGAACTTAAGCATATCAGTAAGCGGAGGAAAAGAAACTAAACAGGATTCCCCCAGTAACGGCGAGTGAATAGGGAAATGTCCATCGCTAAATCATTTTGCCTAAGGCATTATGAGGTGTAGCGTATAAGCCGTAATTTTTAATCTTTTGTCTCAAATAAGTCCCCTTGACAAAGGTTCCACAGAAGGTGCAAGTCCTGTACATTGAGATAATTGATCGATATTTACGTGCTTTAGAGTCGGGTTGTTTGGGATCGCAGCCCAAAGTCGGTGGTAAACTTCATCTAAGACTCAATATTGCCACGAGACCGATAGCAAACAAGTACTGTGAAGGAAAGTTGCAAAGCACTTTGAAGAGAGAGTTAAAGAGGACGTGAAACCGGAGAGGTGGAAACGGATAGAGTCGGCGTATCTTTCAAGTATTCATTTACATTATTTTTATGTTGTGATCTCTGAGCTCCAGATTGGGACAGAAAGAAGCATCATAATTTTCTGTGATGCATTTGCTTGTTTGGTGCTTGGGGATGTTTGAGGCAGATTTGTAACCGCCGTTTTGAGGCCAGCTTGCTGGTACCCAAACAGCGTTAGCATCTTTTGTCTTGGACATTTGAGTATGGTTTACGGGCATTTATTGGTTCGATCTGATTGTAAGTTACGGTCGCATGCGACACGTGCTTTTCATTTAGATCGGTCCAGTTAATGCTCTCGTACTCGCTCCCCATGTAAAAGCCGGTCATCTATCCGACCCGTCTTGAAACACGGACCAAGGAGTTTATCGTGTGCGCAAGTTTTTGGGTGTTAAAAACCTAAAAGCGAAATGAAAGTAAATGGCTCTTTAGAGTCTGACGTGCGATCTTGTAAAAAAGGGCAGCATGGCCCCATTCTAACTGTTTACAGTAGGGTGGAGGAAGAGCGTACGCGGTGAGACCCGAAAGATGGTGAACTATTCCTGAGCAGGACGAAGCCAGAGGAAACTCTGGTGGAAGTCCGAAGCGGTTCTGACGTGCAAATCGATCGTCTGACTTGGGTATAGGGGCGAAAGACTAATCGAACCATCTAGTAGCTGGTTCCCTCTGAAGTTTCCCCCAGGATAGCTGGAGCTCATTAGTAGTTATACTCGGTAAAGCGAATGATTAGAGGACTTGGGAACGAAATGTTCTTAACCTATTCTCAAACTCTAAATGGGTATGATGTCAAAGTTGCTTGATTTTGAACTTTGGCGTTGAATACGAGTTCCAAGTGGGCCATTTTTGGTAAGCAGAACTGGCGATGTGGGATGAACCAAACGCGGAGTTGAGGTGCCAAAGTGCCCGCTCATTAGACACCATAAAAGGTGTTGGTTGATACAGACAGCAGGACGGTGGCCATGGAAGTCGGAATCCGCTAAGGAGTGTGTAACAACTCACCTGCCGAATCAACTAGCCCTGAAAATGGATGGCGCTGGAGCGGGCCACCTATACTCTGCCGTCATATGCTTGTATTTTCCGTGAAAAGTCTTGCAATGACGTGTAAGAGGGTCGTAGTGGTTGCAATGAAGGCTTTGGGTGTGCACCCAGCTGGAGCTTCCACTAGTGCAGATCTTGGTGGTAGTAGCAAATATTCAAGTGAGATCCTTGAAGACTGAAGTGGAGAAGGGTTCCACGTGAACAGTAGTTGAATGTGGGTCAGTCGATCCTAAGGCACCGGCTAAAGCCGTCTAGACACTGCGGGGAGATGAGATACTTAACGGTATATTGTCTACTCGGTTGCCGAAAGGGAAGTGGGTTAATATTCCCACACCAGGCATGGGAGATGGTGATCCGCAAGGATTACTTTGCGCGGTGACGCAAACGAACTCGTAGACCTCGTGTGGAGTCCGGGCCAGAGTTCTCTTTTCTGGTTTAGAGATCATGTCCCTGGAAGTGGCTCAGCCTGAGATAGGGATGCTGGTCTCGTAAAGCGCAGCGGTTCCTGTTGTGTCCCGTGTGCTCCACATGAGCCGTGAAAATACGAGGGAGGCAATTTAAAATCTCCAGCCTGATCGTACCCATATCCGCAGCAGGTCTCCAAGGTGAACAGCCTCTAGTCGATAGAATAATGTAGGTAAGGGAAGTCGGCAAATTAGATTCGTAACTTCGGGAAAAGAATTAGCTCTAAAGGTTGGGTCAGTCGGGCTGTTGTGTGAAACAGGTGGACTTTGCTCGTGGCTGCTTGATCTTCCCTTCGGGGCGGCGCTTGTGGACTAGTAGTGAGGACTGCTTGTGGAGCGCTTCAGCTGCGTACTATTTCGCAAGATATAGTACTTCGATTGGCGCTGAACAACCAGTTTAGAACTGGCACGAACTCCGGGAATCCGACTGTCTAATTAAAACAGAGGAGACGGATGGTCTTTGCAGGACGTTGACCGTGTCTGATTTCTGCCCAGTGCTCTGAATGTTAAGCCAAGGAAACTTGATTAAGCGCGGGTAAACGGCGGGAGTAACTATGACTCTCTTAAGGTAGCCAAATGCCTCGTCGGCTAACTACCGACGCGCACGAATGGATCAACGAGATTCCCACTGTCCCTATCTACTATCTAGCGAAACCACAGCCAAGGGAACGGGCTTGGCAAATTTAGCGGGGAAAGAAGACCCTGTTGAGCTTGACTCTAGTCTGACTTTGTGAAGAATCATGAGAGGTGTAGCATAAGTGGGAGTCGTAAGACAACAGTGAAATACCACTACTTTCATCGATTCCTTACTTAATCGGTAAAACGGGAGTTGTGTCTACGGACCTTCATTTTTGTTTTAAGACTAGCCACTCGGTGGTTGGTTGACTCGCGCCGTTGACATTGTCAGGCGGGGAGTGCCGTAGGCCAGAGTGCATTGTCAAAAGTAGACCCAGGCAATCAAATTTCACCAGGCATTTTTGGTTTATGAGTCTGTGACGATCCGATTAAAAATTGCCTCAGGCAAAGTAGACCAAAGTGCAATTGACCAAGTGTCGTAGGGTAATAGGGTTCCCCCAGGCAATCAAATTTCACCAGGCATTTTTGGTTTATGAGTCTGTGACGATCCGATTAAAAATTGCCTCAGGCAAAGTAGACCAAAGTGCAATTGACCAAGTGTCGTAGGGTAATAGGGTTCCCCCAGGCAATCAAATTTCACCAGGCATTTTTGGTTTATGAGTCTGTGACGATCCGATTAAAAATTGCCTCAGGCAAAGTAGACCAAAGTGCAATTGACCAAGTGTCGTAGGGTAATAGGGTTCCCCCAGGCAATCAAATTTCACCAGGCATTTTTGGTTTATGAGTCTGTGACGATCCGATTAAAAATTGCCTCAGGCAAAGTAGACCAAAGTGCAATTGACCAAGTGTCGTAGGGTAATAGGGTTCCCCCAGGCAATCAAATTTCACCAGGCATTTTTGGTTTATGAGTCTGTGACGATCCGATTAAAAATTGCCTCAGGCAAAGTAGACCAAAGTGCAATTGACCAAGTGTCGTAGGGTAATAGGGTTCCCCCAGGCAATCAAATTTCACCAGGCATTTTTGGTTTATGAGTCTGTGACGATCCGATTAAAAATTGCCTCAGGCAAAGTAGACCAAAGTGCAATTGACCTCAGGCAAAGTAGACCAAAGTGCAATTGACCAAGTGTCGTAGGGTAATAGGGTTCCCCCAGGCAATCAAATTTCACCAGGCATTTTTGGTTTATGAGTCTGTGACGATCCGATTAAAAATTGCCTCAGGCAAAGTAGACCAAAGTGCAATTGACCAAGTGTCGTAGGGTAATAGGGTTCCCCCAGGCAATCAAATTTCACCAGGCATTTTTGGTTTATGAGTCTGTGACGATCCGATTAAAAATTGCCTCAGGCAATTTTAAAAAAAAAAAAAAATTGCCTCAGGCAATTTTATTTGGCTCCAGACAATTGTCAGGAATTGCCATTGATAACTTTTGTGAAAGTGCCGCTGATAAATTGTAAATAATTTATATCTTTTGCAAAGGAAATTAAATATATAATAAGCTGTCATTAATTTTTTAATTTCAGATTATTTTCGAGATTTTATTCTAAAATTATCAATATAATCAATATTAATGACAGCTTAATTACCCGCAGACTGGGTAATTCCAGCTCTGCTAACTACCTAAATAAAAGATATCTGGTTGATCCTGCCTGAACTGATGTGTTCATTTCAAAGATTAAGCCATGCATGTATAAGTTTAATCGTTTTAACGAGAAACCGCGAACGGCTCATTACAATGGCCATGATTTACTTGATCTTGATTATCTAAATGGATAACTGTGGAAAAGCTAGAGCTAATACATGCACCAGAGCTTTGTCCTCTCGGAAAAGCGCATTTATTAGAACAAAACCACGCGGCTTCGGCTGCTTCTTGTTGACTTAGAATAACTAAGCTGACCGCATGGCCTTGTGCCGGCGGCGTGTCTTTCAAGCGTCCACTTTATCAACTTGACGGGAGCATAATCGACTCCCGTGGTGGTGACGGATAACGGAGGATCAGGGTTCGACTCCGGAGAAGGGGCCTGAGAAATGGCCACTACGTCTAAGGATGGCAGCAGGCGCGCAAATTACCCACTCTCGGCTCGAGGAGGTAGTGACGAGAAATAACGAGACTGTTCTCTTTGAGGCCGGTCATCGGAATGGGTACAATTTAAACCCTTTAACGAGTATCAAGCAGAGGGCAAGTCTGGTGCCAGCAGCCGCGGTAATTCCAGCTCTGCTAATACATAGAATTATTGCTGCGGTTAAAAAGCTCGTAGTTGGATTCGTATCGGTACCTTGGAACCCTTCGGGTGTTTCTGGGTGTTATCGATTTATCGTAATGTTCGGTTTTGAGTCCTTAACAGGATTTTTAACAGTCATTGCAAGTTTACTTTGAACAAATCAGAGTGCTTCAAACAGGCGTTTTCGCTTGAATGATCGTGCATGGAATAATAGAAAACGATTTCGGTTCAGTTTTATTGGTTTTACGGACTGAGATAATGGTTAACAGAGACAAACGGGGGCATTTGTATGGCCCCGTGAGAGGTGAAATTCTTGGACCGTGGCCAGACAAACTACAGCGAAAGCATTTGCCAAGAATGTCTTCATTAATCAAGAACGAAAGTCAGAGGTTCGAAGGCGATCAGATACCGCCCTAGTTCTGACCGTAAACGATGCCAACTAGCGATCCGCTGATGGAAATTATATTGCCTTGGTGGGGAGCTTCCCGGAAACGAAAGTTTCCGGGAAGCTTGGTGGGGAGCTTCCCGGAAACGAAAAAATTAAAAATTGCCTCAGGCAAAGTAGACCAAAGTGCAATTGACCAAGTGTCGTAGGGTTCAGGCAATAGGGTTCCCCCAGGCAATCAAATTTCACCAGGCATTTTTGGTTTATGAGTCTGTGACGATCCGATTAAAAATTGCCTCAGGCAAAGTAGACCAAAGTGCAATTGACCAAGTGTCGTAGGGTTCAGGCAATAGGGTTCCCCCAGGCAATCAAATTTCACCAGGCATTTTTGGTTTATGAGTCTGTGACGATCCGATTAAAAATTGCCTCAGGCAAAGTAGACCAAAGTGCATTAAAAAAAGATTACGACACCCCCGATTCCCAGGACGTCTCCGTTCCAAGTACTAAGGAAGCCCAGCGTTGCTTAACTTGCCAGATCGGACGGGATGGCGTGCTTTCAACGCGGTAAATTGCCTCAGGCAAAGTAGACCAAAGTGCAATTGACCAAGTGTCGTAGGGTTCAGGCAATAGGGTTCCCCCAGGCAATCAAATTTCACCAGGCATTTTTGGTTTATGAGTCTGTGAGTCCCAGTTTATGAGTCCCAGCGTTGCTTAACTTGCCAGATCGGACGGGATGGCGTGCTTTCAACGCGGTATGGTCGTAATCACTGTGTTTTCAATTTCTCAATATTTAAGAAAAAATTCTCTAAGGCAAAGTGGGCGGGGCTATTTGTTGTTCGCTGTTCGCGGGAATGGTTTAAGGCAAAAAGAAAATGGGCAATTATAAAAATGTGTGGGAGGAAAATTAGGATTAAAAAAATTTTTTTGAAGAATTAAATTTTTAAAAAAAAATAAAGCTTATAACTGGCAAAATCAACGTGCTTGTCCTACCCTGAAAGGGGCGGGTAAACCATTGAAAATTTGCCGTGATTGGGATCGGAAATTGCAATTATTTTCCGTGAACGAGGAATTCCAAGTAAGTGCGAGTCATCAGCTCGCGTTGATTACGTCCCTGCCCTTTGTACACACCGCCCGTCGCTGCCCGGGACTGAGCCATTTCGAGAAATTTGGGGACCGTTGATTTAATTTATCTAAATTATTTTGATGGAAACCAATTTAATCGCAGTGGCTTGAACCGGGCAAAAGTCGTAACAAGGTAGCTGTAGGTGAACCTGCTGCTGGATCATTACTTTATGTGATGTTCAATTTTGAATCGCAATGAAATAATTGTTGTGTAACGGCTGTCGCTGGTGTCTAGGTGTTGCTGATACAGTTGTGAACGTCCGTGGCTGTATATGTGGTGACATGTTAGGACTATAATGAGTTTAAGACTTAATGAGCCTCTTAAGTGAGGACGCCAGCACTCTTTTTTTATATTTAAAAAAAAACAAAATTCCTAGCCTTTCCGGTGGATCACTAGGCTCGTGGATCGATGAAGAACGCAGCAAACTGCGATAAGTTTTGCGAACTGCAGCAGCCTTGAGCATAAAAGTTTTGAACGCATATTGCCGCATAGGGGTCAAACCCTTTGCTATGTCTGGTTCAGGGTCATTATCTTTCAAAGCGAAAGCTTTATTGTATAATTGCTTTTGTGGCTTCTTTATGTTTTAAATTGATTGTTAGATATGTTTAATTGTTCGCATGTATCATCAACAATATTGATTTTTTGACCTGAACTCAGTCGAGAGCACCCGCTGAACTTAAGCATATCAGTAAGCGGAGGAAAAGAAACTAAACAGGATTCCCCTAGTAACGGCGAGTGAATAGGGAAATGTCCATCGCTAAATCATTTTGCCTAAGGCATTATGAGGTGTAGCGTATAAGCCGTAATTTTTAATCTTTTGTCTCAAATAAGTCCCCTTGACAGGGGTTCCACAGAAGGTGCAAGTCCTGTACATTGAGATAATTGATCGATATTTACGTGCTTTAGAGTCGGGTTGTTTGGGATCGCAGCCCAAAGTCGGTGGTAAACTTCATCTAAGACTCAATATTGCCACGAGACCGATAGCAAACAAGTACTGTGAAGGAAAGTTGCAAAGCACTTTGAAGAGAGAGTTAAAGAGGACGTGAAACCGGAGAGGTGGAAACGGATAGAGTCGGCGTATCTTTCAAGTATTCATTTACATTATTTTTATGTTGTGATCTCTGAGCTCCAGATTGGGACAGAAAGAAGCATCATAATTTTCTGTGATGCATTTGCTTGTTTGGTGCTTGGGGATGTTTGAGGCAGATTTGTAACCGCCGTTTTGAGGCCAGCTTGCTGGTACCCAAACAGCGTTAGCATCTTTTGTCTTGGACATTTGAGTATGGCTTACGGGCATTTATTGGTTCGATCTGATTGTAAGTTACGGTCGCATGCGACACGTGCTTTTCATTTAGATCGGTCCAGTTAATGCTCTCGTACTCGCTCCCCATGTAAAAGCCGGTCATCTATCCGACCCGTCTTGAAACACGGACCAAGGAGTTTATCGTGTGCGCAAGTTTTTGGGTGTTAAAAACCTAAAAGCGAAATGAAAGTAAATGGCTCTTTAGAGTCTGATGTGAGATCTTGTAAAAAAGGGCAGCATGGCCCCATTCTAACTGTTTACAGTAGGGTGGAGGAAGAGCGTACGCGGTGAGACCCGAAAGATGGTGAACTATTCCTGAGCAGGACGAAGCCAGAGGAAACTCTGGTGGAAGTCCGAAGCGGTTCTGACGTGCAAATCGATCGTCTGACTTGGGTATAGGGGCGAAAGACTAATCGAACCATCTAGTAGCTGGTTCCCTCTGAAGTTTCCCCCAGGATAGCTGGAGCTCATTAGAAGTTATACTCGGTAAAGCGAATGATTAGAGGACTTGGGAACGAAATGTTCTTAACCTATTCTCAAACTCTAAATGGGTATGATGTCAAAGTTGCTTGATTTTGAACTTTGGCGTTGAATACGAGTTCCAAGTGGGCCATTTTTGGTAAGCAGAACTGGCGATGTGGGATGAACCAAACGCGGAGTTGAGGTGCCAAAGTGCCCGCTCATTAGACACCATAAAAGGTGTTGGTTGATACAGACAGCAGGACGGTGGCCATGGAAGTCGGAATCCGCTAAGGAGTGTGTAACAACTCACCTGCCGAATCAACTAGCCCTGAAAATGGATGGCGCTGGAGCGGGCCACCTATACTCTGCCGTCATATGCTTGTATTTTCCGTGAAAAGTCTTGCAATG